ATCACGTTCACTGATAAGTAATGACTCTTACCTCCTTACTAACCCAGTCCCCCTCGGACCCCGCCGTCACACCGAGAGTCGGACGAACACCTCAGGCTCGAACGCCCATAAGATGAAGGGAGATTACACTCAAACTGAATCAATATCACGTTGTCACATTGTCAGCTTGCCATAACTGTGTAGTATGAATTGGGTGTTTGTTTCATGAGTTTGTGACCTTCATAGCTGCTCCGCGGCGAGACAGCCTGGATCCATCCTTCCCTTGTAATCGCTTGCCTACCGAGTATTGAAATATTGACACCCCGTATTCTGCTTTGTAGGTGAGTAATTGACTTTCTTCGAAACAGTGCGGATGGTGCCTCACGCAGATCAAGAGTGTAAGCAGGCTATTGCTATTGTGGATCCAGGCTAGAAGTTCCTGTTCCGGCTATCGCACCAACCACATAGCCACGAGTGACGAAAGCCATTTGTCTTGATAGGTCGAAACGGCACCCAATTCGACTGATCTTAAAGCAATATCATCCTATTTGTCCCCCGCCGTAAGTATTAGTATTAGTACTAAGCGTATTGTGAGACCTCTCGTGACTTTTCTGAAAGATGTAAGCTATAAACATCCACAGCTGACTGGGCTTAGGTTATTGTTCTTATCCCGGATTGCTAGTGCCCTGGCTTCTATTACTCGGTGCTCCCTCCCCTATTGACTCCAGGGAACCCGTTGTAACTTAGTCCATCATGGAGACCTCCACGATATTATATACCGTCGCTGCGTTACTCCCTATCATCCTTTTCTACAGGTGGAGGTTCGCAAACGTACGTGTTCTCTTCCATATTCATCCTTACGCTTTCTCGTCCTAGCTTGCTTGTTGATGGACGAAAAATAGTACTATGACATCCCAACAGTCGGACCTTCCGCACCCGTTCTCTCATACCTCGGTGCGTTCAGGTATATGAAGCATGCTAGAGAGATGCTTGAAGAGGGGTATCAAAAGGTTTGTCTGTCCACCCAACCCAACCCAACCCAATCCAACGTGCGAGTGAAAGTGAAAGATCTGACGATTTGTTTGGTTGATTGGTTAGTATAAAGGAGGCGTGTTCAAGATTGCGATGCTGGATAGGTGGATTATCGTTGTTACGGGACCAAAGTTGGTAGATGAGCTAAGGAGAGCACCGGATCATCAGTTATCGTTCGTCGAGGCTATTCAGGACGTACGTTCAATCTTCGTCTATTACTAGTACTATTGAGTATTGACTGACATGCGGATATTCAACCTAACCCGAAATGAACATGGCATTGTCAGATTCTTCAAATTAAATGGGTCTTTGGACACGAAATCGAGAAGGATCCTTTACATATTGAGATTATCCGGGTTCAGCTTACTCGTCAGTTGGCTAACGTATTCTCTGATATTCGCGATGAAGTCGTGGCGGCGTACGACGATTATATGCCAAGTACAGAAGGTATGTCTTAACCATCCATGCTCGGATACGTTATTATCTTACAGGCTTCTTAAACAGACTGGTCCCCCGTTTATATGCTCCCCATCATGCAGCGCGTTGTTGCACGTGTTAGTAGCAGAGTCTTTGTCGGGTTGCCTATGTGTAAGTCTCGAAACACTCCATATAGTTGACGTGTTAATCTGACGAGGCATGAAGGTCGGAACAGCAAGTACCTTGATCTCGCGATAAACCATACCCACACCGTTTCTCGTACACGGAAACTCTTCACTTGGGTTCCGGAGCCTTTGAAATGGTCTGTATTTCCTGAGACTGAGTCGTAGCAATCGTTTACTTACTCACCAACCCGCCTGTGTCACTGTACTACTAGGATTGTCGGTCAATTCATCAAGGAGTCTCATCGTAGCGTTCAACTGGGCTTGTATTACCTCCAGCCTCTCATCGAAGAACGGATAGAGAATCTCCGGAAATATGGTGGTGCTTGGACTGGTAAACCTGTAAGGACTACGCCAGCTGTATCACAAATGATCCGTACTGAGTTATCTCTCCTATGCCTATGCAGAACGATTTCCTTCAGTGGATGATTGAGATCTCCCTCGAGAAGGGCAAGACGATCGATACAATCGTCCGTTCGATCTTGGTCACCAACTTCGCTGCTATCCATACTTCCTCGAACGTACGTGTTCACCTTTTTATTCGTTTCACAGACAGCTGTTAATCACGATGTACAGAGCTTCACTCATGCGATATATCACCTTGCCGCTAACCCAGACTACATGCAGCCCCTTCGCGAGGAAGTGGAAGCGGTGATTAAGGAAGAAGGGTGGACGAAGGCTGCTATGCAGAAGTTACGCAAGGTCGATAGTTTCTTGAGAGAATCTCAACGTATGAATGGGATCAACGGTAGTACGTCAAATATCCTGTTCCTTCCCTCGAACAGGGAAACATTTACACCTGAACAGTCTCAGTCACTCGCAAAGTCCTCGAACCTATCACTCTATCCACCGGACATTACCTTCCTGCAGGAACCATCGTCGCTGCACCGACACGCTCCACACATTTAGACGAACAGTACTATTCCGACCCGGAAGTCTTCAATCCCTGGCGGTTCGCTGATATGAGAGATGGGGACTCTGGAGAGAGCACGAAGTATCAGTTCGTCAGTACCTCTGTCGATTATATTCCGTTTGGACATGGGAAGCATGCTTGGTGAGTCCTCGGAAGTTTCATGGAAACCTTCCTCCTTATTGTCCCCGTACTCAAAATTGAACGTCTCGATACTATACAGCCCGGGACGGTTCTTTGCTGCGAACGAACTGAAGGCTATGTTCGCTCATATGGTGCTGAATTATGACCTCAAGCTTGAGAATGAAGGCGTTCGTCCCGAGAATGTATGGTTTGCGAACTTGATCGTTCCGTCTCCGACGGCAAGGGTTCTCTATAGGAAGCGCAGGGACTAGGTCGAGTCGATACTTCATGGCGGTGAACGTATGCATCTTTGAGTCGCTGCTGACTGCGGGCATTGCTTGATTGTATCATAGAAAGGCACTCTCATAGGGGTGAATCCAATGCATTCATCGGTATTGTGTGCGCGAGATTGCGTACGTCATATCGACTCTTGACTAACAATCATTTCTACTGCAACTGTGACCATTGTACTCAACTCGACCTTGGATGGTTCCAAGACATGACAACAAAGTTGTAAGAATGTCAACAGTGACCAAGACTTCGATCGCATTACTTCTGACTCCCGGCACCTAATCATTCATCTTCCTACCATAGCCGCAATCCTACACCAGACGAGAGAGAAGTCGGTTGACTTCCCTTTGCTGCTGGAGCATCTCCGCCTGCTGCTTTGCTATCGCTACCAACAAATCACGTATATCCTGACCTTGACCTTCATCCCCACTACCTATGCCTGCCTGGTCCTCACCCTCGTCCTCCGACTCTATGTACAGGCGGCGCTGAGCCTTAGGGCGTTTCAGCGCAGGTGCGTCAGACCCCTCAGGCGAGTCTCGAAGCCCGGTGAGGTCTAGCGTAACGGGCTTTCGTTTTCTTTTGGGACCTGGATTGGCGTCCTTGTGACACCTTCTTTTCTTGCTTTGGCATGCGGTACATGTCGATGACTGGCGTCCATTTTCTGTTCTATGGCAAAATGCTCCGTATAAGTGGGGTGGTTTCTTCAAGCTTGTCGGTGAAGCGTTACTCACACGGCGGCGACGCACTTCGCGTTGCGCATCCGACACGCCCAGCATGGGTTGTCACGAGATGGAAGCCACTTCCCAGTGCTGGTCGTGTCACCAGCAGTTGCCTCGCGAGCTTTCTTTCTAGCCTCACGGGCTTTACGCTCGAGTTCCTCTTGGGCTTTCCTTTTAGCCTCCTCTTTCGCGATCCTTTCAGCCTCCTTTCGTTTTGTTTCCTCTTCTGCACGACGAGCTTCTTCTTCCAATGCTTCCAATGCTTCCAATGCTTGCATCGTTTCCTGAATTTGTTCCTGCTTTATCGCTAACTCGGCTAGCAAGCGTGCGGATTTTGTCTTGAGGCTCTCTATAGCAGACATGGTGGGCAGAGGTGGCGGGGGAGGGAGGAAAAGTTGAATAGTGAACATACCCTGGACTAAACCAACTATACACAACCAATCCGGTTCTCGCTCCTGGTAGTATTTGAATTATGAATGGTCTTCTCCGCGGGGCTATCCGAATCCTAGTCTCAGAATGCTCGAACACGCGGCACAGACGCAATTCTGCTGCGCAGCCTCACCAAGGATGTGAGCGACAGCTCGCGGTGAAGATGCCTAGAACCTTTTGGCAGGAAGTAGTTGTAAGTCGACGCAGTATTCGCTGGTACGAAATGGTGTCTACGAACATCATGGTAGAATCCGGAATGATACCTTATTGACCTCACAACTTTCGTCAGAAATGAGAGGGGTGATTGCCAATCGACCTGACGAGTGAACGTGTTTGGCATAAGGGATTGAGAAATGGAATGTGACGACCTGAGCTAAGTGCTGCCTGGCATGACGGACGATGCACAACCTGGAAGAACTAGGTACTGCAGGTACGAGGGTAAGACACTACCGAGAGAAGCTATAAGCTTCCTTCTGAGATCCATGAGTGCCTCCCTTAGGCCATGAAGCTTTGAAGTGCTATGGAAGATCGGTATGCTGGCTCTTCTATCTTCACTCAAACTCTAGGACCCGAGTGATCTATCAGTGAGTTGCGTGCGCCGCCTGGTCTCTGCCTTCCAATTCACAGCAGGAACGCCCCTTGTCTCCACATGTACAATTTAGACTTACCAGAAGACGACGCATGCGTCCTTAGTCTGATATTGGAAAAGGATTGAGTGCGGGAACACGTTGGTAAGTTATGCATCCGAGCGAAGTACTTCCAGTTGCCGATCACGTGCTCTCGACCTCTACGACGTCGACGTCGGATGTCTCTTGGTGCGCTACGAATCCGAGGAATGTGGAGGCAGGGGGAGGGGTTTAAATTTCCAGAGTCCCACCAGCAGTTTTCGAGCAAAAAGAAGACCCGCAAGAGTTATAGTGCCAGGACCGTGGATTGAACACGGGACCTCCAGAACACAGATTGCTTCAGTCTGTTGCTCTCCCAGCTGAGCTATCCCGGCAGTAATACAAATCTCGAATCAGTCAAGCACATCTTCGCGGTGTTTCAGTTTCATTGCAAGCCAAGTTTGACATTGAATAGCTTCATTTTGATAACGAAGTACATGTAAATGTTGCCGATGTCTGCAAGAAGTCACTCAGCCCTTGTCGAAAGGCAACATCACGTACTATAACACTGTAACCCGGACACACTTCCATTCTACATGTTTTAAGCGGGACATGCGTCCGCGCCGAATGAGATATCATTGAAGTACGGACCGAGGTGATTCGCTATGCTTCCATCGAGAGCTGAGTTCCCTTCTGCGCAGTTCTAACATGCACGAAGAAAGTCAATGATTGATGCTCATGGCTTAGACTGGTCCGGGAAAGGAAGAAATACTTTACCTCATTCTCTTGTCCTGAACATGCAACCAAGGTCGCTTTCCCAGAGTCTTTATCTACGGATGTTATATGAATCTCTCCAGATGGATGCTGATACCCTAGGAAGCGAGGCGGAACGATCGGTACTGGGTCATCTTGGTTAGTTATCCTGCTAAAGGTGGGGAACTGTTACGAAGACCATATAAGCAAACGACGATTTCGATCGAGAGAATCACTGCGTACTGAGGCATCCGTCATGCTTGCAAATGCTTCGTTCCCGACCCTGGGAAGACCAAAGAGAACCGCATTGATCTCGACGGTGGATGGTAGGTTCATCTTCAGCATATGTGCATCTAGTGTAGCTACAGCTGCGCCTAACGAGTGCCCAGTAACGAGCACACGGTTGTACTTAGTCGAGGCCAGAGCAGACTGTACGGTAGACAATACGAGGTCTGCCGTTCGACCTTGCGTCTTCTGGAACCCTTCATGCACCCGGGCACCATCTGATTCAGACTGTCAGGCATGTACGGATGGCAGCAAGCTAGAATAGGAACTTACCTGCAGCTTTAGGGAACAGCGTAGAATTCATCTCGACCTGCGCGATTTGAGCGTCATTGGCGATAGAAACGAGCTGAGTGGGATCTGTTCCTTGATGGGCGACGACAACAGACTCTGTGGTAGGGTCTGTTGCAATGAAGACTGGAGGTTCCGCAAAGGTATGAATCTGTAAGCACCCCGTCAGGGAACAAATCATACCAGAACTTACACCCTGGAATAGCACCATCGTCCCCGCCAGCTTCTAGCACCTTGATTTCCTTTACGGCATCACATGGCGCGCCGCAGTTCAGCGCTGTTACACTAGGTGCAGAGCAATATGATAGTCGCGAAAACAAGGCGGGTCGAAGGAGCTGAGAAGTAACTGTGTCATCTGAGACGGGAGTGGGTGCATTGTCCGTGGTATCTCCTTCTTCGCCGATATGGATGCCAAACAAAGGTTTTGGATTGGGAATTGGGGCTGCCAGAGCGATTGGAAGCAATAGTAGAAGGGTTGTAAGCAACATCATGGGAGTATGACTTTGGCCGCTGGGTCCCGGAACGAAAGATATATTTCAAAGGAATGTGGAGAAGGAGCCGACAGAAGGAAGTGAAGGGCGAGGGACCTCCTGGGCCAGAGAAGGTGAATGGAGAGAAGGACCAAACGCGAAAAGAGGGAAATACGGGGGAAGAGGAAGTAACCTGCCAGGCCTCAAGGACAGGAGTAAAAAGGGAGCATACAGGATCCGAGGACAGCCAAGACCTTCTCTGTACTTGATGACAGATGGCTGCCAAGAGGTCAGAACGGCTGCAAACACATGAGCCTATCAAACTGAAAGGATCGAGTGAAGATACCTCATGGAAGGCGAGAGAAGGTGAGAGAGCAATGAAAGTGGTTTCCCTGCAGGGATATACGTGATGTACAGCATCAGCACGCAGCAGGTTGCACTACGATTCGGAGCAACATGCTGAACTTTAGCCGAGGGAAAAAATGTACATATGATGATTCGGCGGGATTTGACGGAGGTTACTGGCTATGATAGGGAATAGTATGGTGAGATGGATACAACGGACAAGCATCTGCAAGAGTCAAAGATGTTGATGAGCTTACCAGGGTCATCAGCAATGCGCCTCAGCGACCATCCATGTACGCATTGAACTTGGATACAATATGTTCGAGGAATCACCTGTACAGTACAGCCCCGGCATGATGTTATTGATGATACTTACTTATTTGATATTCACAGGGTGTACATAGCAGCTACTTAGCCGAGCCACACGTCGACGCAATGCTGTGAGCAACGAACAATTGAGCTAACGACAGCGTCGGCAGGTAACGATCGCGACACGTCAAGAAGAAAATGAGTGATAAAACAGTCGTTCGATGGGATTTTGCTAAAGATCTCCTCGTGCATTCATCGTATTTCGTGGTTACGAGCAGTATCGACGAAAGCCTGATTGCTGAAAGCCAGCAACTGAGGTGAGGTGGAAGAAGTTCAAGAACGTCTCTGCTTGCTGCGTTTCTGTTTTCCCAATTTGACTCAGCGCTGGCGCTTGCGTACCAATCGCGGCCACGTGATGAGCTATGCAGACGAATTTGATTCTGATTCCGAACGCGGTGGTACCGATAGCTGACTACTAGTCTCATAACTTTGCGTGCTTTCCGGTAGACTGCGCCGATTTCTGTGATGATACTCTAACTTGCTTCAGCCTTTAGATAGGTTTACCCCGCAGAACCGGTAAGACTCTGCAGGGCGGCTCAGTACAATCTCCCGTCGAGTCCCTACTCGATGTCACACGATTCGTTTCCTGATAATGATAGACACTAAATCCTTATGTCCCTGAAGTATAGCACCGACAAAATCTTATAGCTTTGCATATTATCTGTCCCACTTGCCTATGATAACTCCATGAGGAAGTTCCTGTGCGGTGCGACACATACATTATTCAAGAAGGAACCGCGCACCTCGGATCTCAAGGTATATAGCGGAACATCGGTGCCTATAAGACCCCCTGGTGAGGTGTATTTTCCGCAACCTTAGACATATTTGACGTACCTTGTCGGCGAGTTGTGTCGTATCGATGTTGATATTGCGGTCAGCCACACCGAACAACCGGTCTCTTCGGGTATTCTCAATCCTATACGAGATCTATTTGTAAGGTTTCAGTTCCGGTATATTTATAGTGTAACTTGGTCGCACCGATAGAATAGCGCTTCCGACTGCGGACAGGAACACCAAAGCGCAGGACACGCCGAATCCCCTTCTGTGGTCAACGAACAGAATCAGACTGAGGTCGCCGTTGGGAAGAAATGACCGTATAGCACATACATGTATTGAGGTCCCTCCGTCAAGGGGAATAGATGCGATCCAAGAACGGCTCCACATTGTCCAATGGCCATATACAGAGGCATTCCCGCCGCTTTCTTCGTTTCCGAGCCCAGGTTATGCGCAACTAGTGAAGAGAAATTGTGGGATTGGGCGAGAAATGAATAGAGGAACGAGAAAACATACACCAAGCGATGATTATCCCGATCGTTGTATACGCTCCGCACGTTACACAAAAGATGGCGAAGTACCGTGCATGATTATTGTCCGGGACAACCAACATAATTCTATCACATTGCCGTCAGCGAATTGAAATGAAGCGAAGCGAAAGAGATGAGCATACATATAGCCTACGCCAGCAACGACTCCCGAGATAGTCATGAACAATCCCCGGCTCTGCAGACGGTCAGACAGATAACACGTTGCTGTCATCAGAACGGCGTTGACGGCGTAAGGAGGAACTGTAAGGAGTTGAGCACTGGCGTTGCTAACACCGAAGGTCGTGATAATGGTCGGCAAGAAAGCGGCGATGGAAGAGATGGCGCAGTTTGCACCGAAGTAGATTACTCCGGCGACGTAGAGTCTCCAATCGCGGAATGCCCAACCAATGTGCTCTAGACAGCGACGGTATGATTCAAAACACCCGCAAGACAACTTAGATCCAAAAAGCCAGGATTATCAACGCACTCTTGGTGAGGACCCTCCCAACGTCGGCACGAACGCCACGACACATTCTATCTTTTTGAATCACCCTCTCTTGCTCGGACAAGAAGCGCGTCGTCTCCGGCCTATCTGGTAAGAGGAATATCACCCAAAAGCCGAGTACCACAGTCGGTACACCCTCGATAATGAATAAGAGTCGCCAGTTCGAGATAGATGACTGAATGTGTTGGACCCCGAAAGCGATGAGTCCGCCGAAGGCTCCAGCGAGAGAGGCGAACGAAAAGTAGGCTGCCATTCTTGTGCCGAGTTCGTGTTTGGTGTAAAAGAGGGCTATAGTATGCAACGACGACAATCAGTTCAGAACTAGTTGAGTGATTTTACATGTCAACGAACGATACGCACATAAGTAGAGAGGAATTCCCGGTGAGAAACACGATTCAAATGCTCCAAGGAAGATGCGCGCGACTATCATTCCTGGAAAGTTGAATCCTGTGGCCTAGCACAGAGCTTTTAATACCAATCAACGCAGGGTAACTACTATTTGACTCACCATGAGCGTCGAGGATAGACCCCATAGAACGGCAGATAGGCCCATCCACAGGGGCAGCGGAACCAACTTCGAAGCAATCGTAGCAGGAATCTGGCATAAGATCTACAGCACGTATCGGATCAGTGTTCGCAGATGACGGGATTATCAAATTTCAATACTGACGTATGAAAAGAAGAAGGCCGAATTAACCCAATCATAGAGAACACCCGTCGGATCACCACCCAGAGTATCTTCCGGGAAGCCCTGAAGGCGAGCATTGCCCAGATTCGTTCGGTCGAGGTCTGCATAGCATTGGAATACGTGAGTCTATCAAATGAAGTGTTGAAAAGAGCAAACGTACAAGCGAATAGGTAGAGAATACAAAGAATTGGCATGATGCGCATGTCGAGCTTTCTCACCAGCTTCTTCTCTTCGGGTGTCCCAGCCCAGGATTGCGTCTCGGTGCCGTCAAGCTGCGAAGGAGTGGTTTCAGCAGTCTCGATGTGAGCCAAGGATCCTTTGTCATCGGTGGACGAAACGCTAGGATTGCGCGATTTGCCCGACATGTTGCGCAGAGCTCAGAGACGTGCACAGGGATAGACGAAGAGGAAGGAGACAGACTCCCAGCCGTCAAGGACAAAGTCAGGCATCAACATATACTCGTACCTGGGGTTAACTATAGCATCAGTATTTCTAGTTCGCTTCTCTAAGTTATCTCCAGACCATGGAGAAGTGAAGGTCAGTTGACTGGCTCCCGTGAGAGACAGCATATACTAGGAGCCATCTTATGTCCACTAAGAAGCCTATAAGGAGTGGGAGTGGGAGCGAAGTATTGAACCATCACTTCGTGTCAGGTGCAACTAAGAGGTGGCGGCGATAAAAAAGACGGTGGGCTTGAGCAGGAAACATAAATAGGCACGTACTGTCTCGGACCTCGCTCGACTGTTGGCTCCGTCCTTGCGAAATTAGCAACACTGTGTTGACTATCTTACGCACCAAATATCGTTATGGCTGATTGCGAGTGTCAGGAAGAAGGCCACTTTACGCTGAAATGTGAACTATCCTCCTACGTAACGCTGCAATGATGGTTTGACGGATGATTATTGAAGACGGACTCGAAAAGAGTAGGGGCTGCCTGTCGTTCTAACGTGAAGGAGTATGAGCAAATATATGAGATACAAAGGTTACACGATCATTCCCTCATTGTGTGGGTCATCTTCGTCGTTGAGATAATAGATCGTTTCGTGAAGCAAAACGGTTGATGAACGAACGAGCGTTTACGGCAAGCGTTCAGTAGCACGTGCGTCATATATTGCTTCAGGCGGCGCTTAGCGAAATCTTGTCAATTGGCCGACCATTTGCACAATCGGGCACCAGCTTGGATCGTAGCGTTCAAGCACTTCACGGGACGCAAGCTGAAGATAGAACCAGTAGTTCGTTCATTCCATACAAGTCCGGAGACAGAAAGCACGATGGCAAAGAAGAAATCTGCAGCGAAGAAGAAACAGCAGGCGAAAGCTGCTGCCGACAACGCTGCTGCCACTCCCGCCGACGCAAGTACCTCCAACCCTCCTTCGCGACCTGATACGTGAGTCGTTCCATTCGAGAGCCTCCATACAATATTGAACAAAGTGAATTGGACTTAGCCCTGAGCAAGAGGAAGTCATGGAGGTCGACCATCCTGTGGAGGCCGCCCCCGCTCCCGTATCTGCCCCACCACCACCTCCTGCACCCGTAGATCCAATAAAGGAGGCCGAAAAGGTGAAGGAGAAAGGAAACACTGCTTTCAAAGCGTCAAAATTCCAGGAGGCTATAGATCTGTACTCCAAAGCAATTGGTATGGCTTTCATCTTGCTGCACACGACCGAGACTAACCTGCTTATTCACTCACATAGAACTCAATGGGTCGGAGCCCACGTATTATACCAACCGAGCCGCGGCGTATATGGCTCTCAAGAAATTCAAGCCGGCGCTGACGGACTGTCAGCAAGCCGCCAACCTGCAATCCGACGCGCCCTCACCAAAGACCCTGGTACGACTGGCTCGCTGTCAGCTTTCCACGGGTTCGACAGCCCCAGCTCTATCCACACTGCGGACTGCCCTTTCTCTCGACCCGAAAAATACTGCGGCGATTCAGCTGCAGAAGAAAGTCCAAGATTTGGAGGGACATGTGAAGAATTACGAAAAGGCAATGGGGAAGAAGGATTGGGGTATGGCGCGGATCGCACTGGACAAGTGCATGCAGATGATCGAGGGTGAAGGTGGAGATATTCCCTTGCAGTGGCGGTTATGGAAAGTCGAGCTTGAGGTTGCCAAGGGCAACTGGGATGCAGCAAACACCGCTGCCAAGTACGTCTTGTTTGATCGTTCACGTATTGTCTGGCTGGTAAATCGCGATACTTACAATTTCATAGCGAGGCATTGCGGTCGGAGCCCAATTCTCCGGATGCACTTGCGTTGCGAGGTCTTGTCCTCTTCCTTTCGACAAAGTCAGCACAAGCACTACAACACGTGTTCTCTGCACTTCGACTCGATCCCGGGCACGAACCTGCTCAGCGGTTACGCAAACGGATCAAGGATGTCGATCGTTTGAAGGAGGAAGGAAACGTCGCTTTCCGTGGTGGAAGGTTGCAAGAAGCTGTTGATAAGTATACGGAAGCTCTGGACGTGAGTATGATAGCGCAAGGTGGTGGAACTCAGGACTGATGGTATAATCTACAGCGGATCGGCGACAGCGAGCAGGAAGGAAAGGGCGGACATATACGTGCAATGCTTCTCTCTAACCGAGCTACAACCCTCGTCAAGGTGCGTCGAACATAACATCCGGCGGAACGAGCTCACTCACCTGAAACCCGACAAACAGCTTGAACGATGGGAAGACGCTCTGGCTGACACAGAGGCATCGCTGACTCTCAACCCAGCGTCCTTCAAAGCCCTCCGAACTCGCGCTCGTATTAACCTCCAACTAGAGAAATACGACCCGGCGGTGACAGACTTCAAGGCTGCAATTGAGCAGGCCGAGATGGAGGGCAGCGATGCTGACGTGCGCGCGTTGAAGTCGGAGCTGAAGAAAGCAGAGTTGGCGTTGAAGAGGAGCAAGACGAAGGATTACTACAAGATCCTGGGTGTTAGTCGAGAGGCGACCGAGACGGAGATCAAGAAGGCTTATAGAAGGGAGAGTTTGAAACATCATCCCGACAAGGTACGTTTCTTCTTCCCGCGAAGGAATGATCTTCGTTCAATAACCGTGAAATGGTCATTTAACCGAATGTGTCATGCAGGGTGGCGACGAAGAGAAGTTCAAGCTCATCGCCGAGGCACACCAGGTCCTTTCAGATCCTCATCGTCGTCAACGATACGACGACGGAGACGATGATGATGACATGAACGGAATGGGCGGCATGGGAGGTATGCATATGGACCTCTCGGAACTCTTCGCTCAATTCCATGGCGGTGGATTCGGTGGTCCCGGGTTCGGTGGTCCAGCTGGATTCGGCGGTGGAGGATTCGGGGGTGGACACGGATACCGCAGTAGCAGAGGAGGATACCCCTTCTAAGCTTTTCATGAGTTGAATGCTTGGTGTGATCCGTTTTATGGTCATGCTTGTACCATGCGTCGCATCTTAGTTTCTTGCTGCTTTCGTCACCCATGTCGTCGTATATAATATACTTGCTGTTGCGATAAATTACACCTCCTTTGTAGACTTTCTCCCATCACCCGTCTGATTACATGATGAATATAAGTCTTGAGCTTGAGATTTGCGTCAGTCCGTTGTCCATGGTGCCTAGTGTAGCACTGCGCTTTACAGTACTGCCCTACAAAAAAGGATGTTTCGTTGCAGCTAATGATGAGAGTGGGATTCGAACCCACGCCCTTTCGGACCAGATTCCATTCACTGTAGCGAGAAGCTTACTATGCCTTAGTCTGGCGCCTTAGACCGCTCGGCCATCTCACCATAACGCTGTATTTCTCCCATTGATTTGATGCCTGAGGATGAGCTGGAAGGCTGGAGGAGGCTGGAGAATTCCCAGAATGGTAAGACGATTGAAGGCTTTGGTAAATAGATGCAAACAACCCCCGACACTCACGCTCTGCTTCGCCGTGACCTCAGGCATGTGCTACTAGTAGTACCAGTTCATCGGTATTGACGACAGCCTTTCTCTCATCTCATCGGAAGAAATGCTACACTCGTCAGGAACGCAAGTGAATTATATGAGAAATTCAAGTTCAAGTTTGGGGTACTACCAGACTTGCAATGCCGCCCTATCCAGAGCAACTCAAAACACCTATCCCGAGCCAGTCCCCAGAACAGGAGCAAGCTGCTCAATTTGAACTCAAAACCCGCATTTATTTACCGCCAAACTAGTCCGTCGTTGATAGTAGCCGCTTGAAGCTATTTGGCCCTGTAGAAGTGCCCCAGGTCAGTGTCAATTCGTGATCAGGGGTATAGGGTTGTCTCGCCCTTGATTCACTTTCCAGAGCCCTGTTTCTTCTTGGTCTGCTTCTTCTTTCGTGTAGTTTTGGCAGGGGGATCACTCTCCAAGTCTTCGGATTCAAGGAGATCTTCATATTCTGCCATCTGTTCTCGGAAAAACGCTTGTTGAAATGGTGAGTTTGGTAGTTGCGCAAAACGCACGAACAAGTGAAAGGCAACGCTCTACTTACCTTCGTGGTCATCATCGTTCTTACTGGACTTATTCTTCGAGGTACTTCCGTGGCCTGATGGTGCCATGATCGCTTTCACTTGATTTTCGAAGCGGTACTGGTGTTAGTTACTTGACAGTCAGAGTCGTTGTCTGTTTCGTTCGCTAGCAGCAGACTTTATGTGCCCTTACGCTGTTGATTCCATGCTAACGTTTACATTCCAAGAAGTTCCGAGGAGACAATGCGGTTTCGATGTGGGTCGACTGCGGATATGTTCTTCGCAAAAATAGGTGCTGAACAGCAACCTTGGTAGATCAGGTTCTTACTTCGCGATGTCGCGCATTCCCGTCCGGTGCGACTTCCAATAAACAACAATGAGGGTTCAACCAGAATGGAATAAACGGTACGTTATCGAATACATTCCTACACCCAAGCTGCTCCGTATTCAATGGATCATATGTGTTCTCCGACCTCTGGCAGCGAACGGAAGTCCCCTTAACAGATATGGTTATCCTTCGTGGACTGAGAACACGAAGTGGTCAATATATAGTGTCAACACGGAAGAAGGAAGGATTGCACGTACCCCAGAATCACGTTCTGCCACCACTTCCTTGTAGATCTCAATTGTCCTGCTCGGAATGTCGGACGACCTGGATTGTCCTGAGTCAGGAAGCCTTGGGTCATTCGCCGGTTCGAACTCGATGTATGTTGAGTAGTAGTCCGACGTGCTTGTTATGATGTGACGAGCACGTTTTCGGAGAATTTGCTGGCCATTCAACCTGAAGGGTAAGTTGTCAACCTCACTGCTCTGTGGTTCATTCATGTCACTTACGTTCCCAGGAAAGCGTTCGCGTACACTGCAAGCAAACTATTAGCACGTAAGTATGTACGCTCATTAAGCACGCACGCCTGCTAACGATAGTGAATAAACCCGCGAATACTAGGTTGTTTGGTAGTACGATAAACTGCAATATCGCCATCTCCGAGTCAATACCGTCAGTATGGAAAACAATGTTCGGCAACTACCGTTATAGCAATTCCGAGCGAGACAGACCTTGGAAGAACGCGTTCAGCTTGATCAGGTACTACGGAAGGGACGACAGGACGAACGGTAAAGGACATACATGGTCACAGCTCCAGTGTTCACGAGGTATTGTATAATCCAACGTACGGTACCATCCGTTCTGTACGTCGCGATATCAAGGTGAGTATTCTCCGCCTTGTGAAGAGCAGTGCTTACTTTGCAATCCCGGACTTGTTTCGATGCAGGTAGTAAATCAAACTCCCCGCAATCAGAGCGTCGGCCGTGCACTGAATGTAATTGGCCGCATCCACCGTGGCCTGGAACGAGCCAACGTTATAAGGGAGGAAACCGTTGGAGGAAGAGACGTACTTTAGGAGCGGATGCCGTTTGGAAGGCTGAAAGACGTCCCAGATTGAAGCTCATCAAGAGCGTTTGAGCATACGGCAGATAGAAACGAGCAATAGCAAGCGAGACTTACAGAAAGGCGACAGTGGCTAAGGAAGCGTTAGTTGGCAACACGAATAGGATAACACGGTATGCGGCACTTACCCATCCCTACCCCTAGAATCATTGGCTGAGTGAGCCGTCGTATACTGGATTAAAAAGACTTATCTCCCACCAAATCGGAAGACCATCAATATCGCCTGATGAAATTGTGTTCACAACGCCGTTCAGGAAAAGGCAAATAGTCATCGACGCACTATTGGGGCGATCAGCCACATGTTTTTGTTGCTAACTGGTTCCAAGCATGGGTGAGTTCTTGAATCTACCTAGGATTGAGTTGCCATGCTCACGAATCCATAAACGACGAAGATATTGGCTGTAGAAGGCTGCGTAAGACGGCCAGGTTGCTATTGAAGACCACAAGCCCGTACCTTTGGCACATCACTGCAATAATTACCTATGGAACATCACGGTGAGGACGACACAAAGGAGAATCAACGAGAACGTTGACTAACTTCGAGGATGAGAGAGGTCTATGAGAGTCTCAATCCAACCGTCACAGTGCGGGAGATTGGAAGCAAGACGTACCGGTGCGCTCCTATGAGTGGCCTCAGCTCCGTGAGTGCGACGCGAGATATTGTAAGGTTGGTGCTTACCATGGAAGTATATCGACGATAGAAAGGTTTCCGAATCCCGTGATGGCCATGTGATACAGCCAATGAATTATACAAACCGTGTATGTCGTTTCAAAGAAACTGAAGAACTCAGTGAGATAGACTCGACAATCATTGAATTCTAAGGGCACGCCCGAGACAAGGGATAGAACGCACCATAATGCCATGACAGATCTTTTGAGCCATTTTGGATCTCTGTTGAATGTTAGCAAGTAGATGTACGTCTGAGCTAGTACTAAGCCGTATAGTCTATGTCCGAATGTCAGCGCAAGCGTGCTTTGACTTTGACGAAGTGAACTACATTAGACTAATAAAGATCGAAAGTACGCATCCTCCCAGTAGGCTGGCAGGCGAAGGAATGGCAGCTTCAGGCATACGGGTGCTATCGAGGAGAGGGGGAGTGGAACGAATGCAAACACGATCAAGACCGAAGACTTTATTGTACGCTCCACGGTGACCGTTGTCTTGTCGGAATCGGACATCAGTACTGGCAGAATAGAACTCTTGACACTTGGACTGCCTACGCTGGATGTGCGTGGACCATACTGAGCTTGACAGGCACCCGAACCAGGAAAGAGACGTGCCAAGTCCAAGGGAATCATCTGGACATACCTATCAATTCTCCCATTCACAAGCCGAATTCAGGCTGCACCCGAAACTCCATCGAAGAAGCAGGACACGAGGCTGTCATAGAGGGTATCGACGAGCCGGTTTAGCATTCATATGAGCCACGATGAGGGATTGTCCCAAAATTCATCGCAGTTTTGACAGCGTTGCCTATCAAGCTGACAGTGACTGTCCTGTTGTCGCGTTCCTGAAGTTCGGTGTCTCTTTGTCGACATGAGAGGTTGGAATGCGAAACTCACCATAGCTGGGAACAATCAGCCCCCATCGACCTCACGAGCACAAAGTTGTGAGCTGAGCAGCTGTGGTCAACGGAGCCGAGACTTTGACAGACCACGCGATCCGGAAGGCCAGACAACGGTCGTGAGTTCGGTACTACATGTGAATTGGAATATTCTACGAATTCCTGTATAATACACATTTAGGCAGACAACGGTGTCCTTTTCGTATCGGAATGCGAATGCTGGTTCTTGCTTTACTCAGAAGCCAGTTTGCCAGCCAATGCCTGTTAGTATTCGCAGGAGAACTTAACGATCGAAATGATATGGACATTGAGCACGTTTCACGTACCTGATCATGCGCCACCTTCGTGTAGATCTCTAGTTGTCGCGGTGAATGCCCGGAAGGTACTCGAGGAGATGTCACAGGGAGATCAGAGGCAATGACCCGAGAGGAAGGCTCTGGGTCATACAGGGAGTAGTAGTCCAACGTTTTGCAGTTCGCGATCGCGCGGTCTGATTTCCTGCGGAGAATATGCCGGCTGTTCAACCTATGACATTGGACGTTGGTGGTAGTGTTTTAAGAGAATTGAAAGCAGCAGTGATCTGGGACTCACGTTCCCATGAATGCGTTTGCGTAGACTGCGTCGAGTATTTACGATGAGGTGACATTCTACCAAAACGAAAGAAAAAGACTCACGTCGACTAACGATACTAGTAAAGAGGCCGATGAACGCAAGATTGTCTTGCAACAAAATAAACTGCTCGTCCGGGACATGTATCACTATCAGAAGTACTCGTCGACAACGAAGAAATACGTACCGTGACTGGAATGCCGATGGATACAGCCCTGGTCATGTTAACTATCAGCGTGATGATGTTCAGGAACAAACTGAGCTTACATTGTCAACAGCCCGGTATTGATGACATATTGTATGATCCATCGGACAGTGCCATCAGTCCTATCAACGTCAACGTCAGATGTTCCGGCTTCTTGTTTCAAGATTAAAGGCCATTCATCACCTTTTGAGTCCAGTCCTACTTTTCCGGAGGTAGTATATGAGACTACCGGCGATAAGAGCGTCCACCGCGGTTTGAATATAGTTCGCAGCCTCTACCGTTGCCTAACAGGGGCAAAAGAAAAGCTTGAAAATCTATAGTCTCAGAATACTACGCGGCATTCTGCTTACCTTGGGAGTGAACGCGTTTTGGAAGACCGAGATATGGTTGAGACGGAAGCTAGTATGTTCCTTAGGTGCAGATCCTTGCGCGTAACGAGAGTAACTCACAGATATGCTGCGGAAGCTAGGTATCTGTCAGTAACGAA